GACGAATGGAGTTGCTCAATCAAAGCTGCCCTCTCAGACCCCATCACTCAAACTGCCCCACAAAGCCACCCACAAGGCCATACCACTGCCCCATGATGTATTCCAGAGGCCCAAGAAGCCACAGACACCTGCCATGCCCAGAGCAGGCTTCCATGTCACCAGCACTGTGAGTGGGGCCAAAGTGGGGCTGCCCCCACAGGGCACAGACAGAGAAAAGCCACCTACCTCATCCAAGCTGCTGAAGTCCAACCAGGAGCCCAGTGGCCGTGGGGCGATGGCCGGGACCCTGAAGAAGGATTCCTGTGGCAGTGCAGTGGGGCAGCTGGCCAAGGAGACCCACAAGGCCAAGAGCAATTCCAGCAGCTTCTGCAGCTCTCAGGGAAGGAACTTTGGCACCCACCTCCCCACTGGCCCTGGCGCCAAGCTGGCTGTCCCCAAAGACTCCAGGACAGCCACTGTGGAACCCTCCCCACTGTGCAGTGCCATGCAGGAGCAGGGCAGCACCACATCACCACCACTGGCCAAGAAACCATCACTTTCTGCCAAAAAGGTGAGTCTGAGCTTCTGCCCGGAGACTCCACTCAACACCTTCTGACCTGGGATTGCGTTGGAGGAAGTGTAGAGCTACTGCTGAGCTGGAGGTGGAGGGGAAGAGCCCCCCAGGGCAGTGGTGGCTGCTCTGCCCTCCCTCTGGGTCGGGATGTTGGGCCAGTGCCTGCTGTTGTTCACATCCCTGAGGGATGTAGGGGGATGGCTCCTGCCCCCTTCCCAGGATGGAGGGGTGGCTATGCCAGTCCCTGCAGTGGGGTGGCCTTGGCACCTTCTTGGGGTCAGGCGTTCCCTGGGGTGAGTGGCAGTGGTGGTGCTGCAGCAGGAGGGTGTGGGGGTGCCTCCTCCCCAGGCAGGGTGTGGGACCGGCCCTCGGTGCTGCAGTGCAGTCAGGACTCGGGATGGTGTGCTGGGGCTCTGGGTCTTTAAATTTCTTTCCTTCCTTTTTTCCTTTGTTCTTCTAACTGAAAGCACTTCTGATTCTTCCACCCCCACTTCCCTCCCCCCGTCTGTGTCTGTTCCCCTCCCCTTTCTCTGGGCTCCTGTTTTTCTCTTGGCTCATGGAAACCCCTCTGCTTTAGACCACCAAGTTTTTATTTATGTCAATAACTGCAGGGCAAACCCTCACAGAAGGCGAATGGGAGTGACCGCCACACACAGTCCCACCCTGACTCCACTCCCGGGCCTCTGGGCAAGTCCAGGTAAGCAGTGCCATTGCTCCCAGGCTCCTGCGTGGCAGCAAGGCCAATGGCAACCTCGAGGTGCTCCATGGGGCATCTGTGTGGCCTCGCAGCTGGCTCTCCAGTTCTCCAGGGCTGGCAGGGCTTGCTCCGAATCCAAGAAGCAGGGCAGTCTCTGACTGTCAGCACAGGGTGGGAGGGAGCTTTGCAGGCCCTGACCTTGGACTAGTGTCCCACGGGATCAGGAGGCACCAGCCTGGTCTAGATCTTGCTCCAGGTCCCCCTTGTAGCCTTCAACAGCAGCATGTGCTGCAGCATTGCTCACTGTTGCCCTGTCTGCTGTGGGACAGTGGGGCACAGTCTCTGTGAGCACTTGTGGACCAGTGTCCGATTTCTGATTTCATGGCCAAGATGGCAGCAGTTGGAGTGGCATGGGAGAGAGGGGCTTCTGGGCTTTCAGATCAGCCTCTTTCCCTGTCCTTCAGCCTGTCCTCATCTGCTCTCGAACTACCAAGTCCTGAAAAGTCTTCCTTCAGCTTCATGCTCAGCTTGGACTCTCGGCTCCCAGCCTCCCCACTGACCCACGGTTCCACTGCCCACCCTTCACACCACCTTCCTTCCAGCAGCAGGGAGAAGGGATCCAGCCAGTTGGAAACAGAGGGTTCCTGGAAAAAGAAGCGTCGAAAGAGGAAGCATCATAGCACAGACAGGAACTTTTGTGCTGTGGCTGTGAGTGACATGGATGAAGTCTCCAGGCCCTCCCAAAAGGAGAGATTTGTCTCTTCAGAGTGCTTCAAAAACAAAGACTGCAGGCCCCCCAAGAAGGAGAGCATTGGGTCTCAGAAGGACTTCATGGATAAAGACTCCAGGCCCCTGAAGAAGAGGAGAATTGTCTCTCTGGAGGGTTTCATATCTGTTGTGGGGAAGGAGACAGAAGGCGAGGGTCCTGCTGATGGCCTGGGGAGTCCGGGCTGTCAGGACATGGAGAGTGGGCCCAAGCAACACATGCCAGAGCCCAGTATTGACTTGGGCATAGGGCCAACCTTCCCACTCAAGAGGAAGAAGAAGAAAAAGAAAAACAGGAGCAAAGATAGACCATTGGAGAGGACAGAAGAGCGCTGCTCTGGGTTGCTGTCACTGGACAGGTGAGGGGCACATGAGAACCTGAGGTCAGGCTCTCTGGGCCATGGTTAGGGGCCTCTCATCTTCCTGAGGATGGGATGTGCCTTGGCATGGATCCAGCTGAAACACCCACTTCCTTGGGGTGGGTTCACCCCTCCCCGAGTGCAGTGCAGGTGTCCCTGAACCCCACTGCCCTGCAATGCTCAGACTCTTCCCTGCTCTGGTCTGGCTGGAGCAAACTGACCGTGCTGCCTTTCCCAGCTCCAGGAGGGCTGAGCTGGAGCCTTGTGAGACACACTGGAGCGCGGAGGCTGGAGAGCGGAAGCACCGCAAGCGCAAGCGGATGGAAAGCCTCAGCAGCCCGGCTGCCAAAGCCGTCCCTGCCACCACCAGCCCCCAAGGTGTGACCGTGTACCCTGTCTGGTGCCTGGCAGGGCTGAGCCAGCCACTCACCTGCCCACGGGCCCCTCAGAGCACTGCTGTGCATTCCACAGCGCTTGCTGGTCCCACAGCTGCCTGGCAATGCCCATCATCCTGCCCCCCATCCTGGGCTGCCCTGCTCCAAACCCATCTGCTACTCCTGTGGGACAGCCCAAGAGCCCCCAGCTGTGCTCCGGAGGAGGGGTGGGGACAGGCTCCTTGAGGGGTGACAATTTGCCCGAGCATAGGTCCTGGTGTTCCCAAACACCTTGTGCCATCAGTGTCTCCTGGGGTAAGATCTGCCTTGGAGAAGGAGGGATGCACGAGCTCCCCAAGCTCCCCCAGCATGTCCTCACCCCGCCTGTTTCTGTAGTGGCAGCGCGTGCCAAGGACAGCCAGACTGGAGACGAGAGACACACCCTGGCTGCCCCGAGCCCTGCAGCCAGCAATTGGGCTAGCACAGCCCCTGGGGGCCAGGAGACCAGCGTGGTGGGCGAGCTGCTCCAGGACTCATTGGACAAGGCTTATGGCAAACAAGGTAATCCTGGCTCACCTGGGTGGGCGAGCAGCCACACAGCCCCCCTGCCCCAAGCCCCGGATACAGGCAGAGCCCTCTGAGTTCTGCCAGGGCCTGAGCTCCCCCTGCTCCAGCACAGGCAGTGACAGGGCTCCTGGAGCCAGGCAGGTGAACCCAGCTGGGGGCTGTCAGGGATGGCACAGGGTGGGGGGCTGAAGCGAGGGGCTCCAGCCTTGGGCCTAGTGGGGGCCCAGTGCAGGTGGGTGCAGTGGGGCACAGCCCTGTGCTCCTGCTGACCACGCTGCTCTACAGTCTTGACCTGGCAGGGCGAGATTTCGGCTGTCAGCCAGGATGCCATTCAGGACACGGCATTGGCCCGGAGTGAGACCATCATCGATGAGTGGGACCAGGAGTTCGACAAAGGAAAGGTGGATGCTGGCTGTGTGCTGGGCTGGGGTGGGTGGGAGGAGGCTGGAGCCTCTGCACTCTGACCTGAGAGCCTGCCTGCCTCTGCACAGATAAAGAAAATGAAAAAGATGAAGCAGGAGCGGAAGAGAGACTCGAATCCCTTCCAGAAGCTGCAGAACAAGCGCAACTTCTGGTTGATGTCACATCCTGCCAAGATGGCCAGCCTGGGCCACCGGCTCTCAGGTGAGTGAGCTGGGGGGCACAGTGAGCCCAGGGGGAGGAAGGGGGTGGCAGCCTGGCAGGGGCTGACACTGCTCCTTGCCTCACAGGTTGAGATCTGCATCCCCCAGACAGCTCATGGAGCAGTCCCAGGCGAAGGACCAGGGACAGCACTGTCCTGGGAGCTGTTGGTGGACCATGCTCAGAGAGGAGGGAATGCGGCCCCTGTCCTGGGGTCGTGCCTTCCCCTTCCGGGAGCTTCTTCTCCACCTGCGGAAGAACCTGCCCACGCTGCCGTGCCTCCAACGTGCCTTGGCCGGGCTCCTCCTCACTTCTCCGTGCCTCTTCCCCTCCTTTCCCCAGCCTGCACCTGCGGGGGCTCCTGGGAAGTGCCTCAAGACCGTCCCTGCTGCTCCGTGTCAGCGTGCCTCCCGCCGCCCCTCGCCTTCCCGGACTGCCCTTCCCCGCCGCTCCCTGACCCCCATTCCCTGCGCAAGCCGCATTGAAAGCCTGCCCTCCGCTTGGCCAGGCCCCGCGCGGGCGCGGGGGGCATCGGTGGGCTCCCCGCGGGGATGGGGCGCTGCCGCCGGGGCCGCGGGACTGAAGGATTGGACTGAACGGAATAAATCCCGGTGTTCGTCCATCGGCCCCGCTCGGGAGCGGCGGGAAAGGGGCGGGGCCGCGGGGGGGGCGGGGCCGGTGTGGCTCCTCCCCCGGCCCCACGTGACACCGGCCGTGGCGGCCGCGGCGCGCTCGTCACGCGGGCGGGGCCGGAGCGGCGGCGGGATGGAGGAGGAGGAGGGCGGCGGTTGCGGTCAGTGCGGGCCGGGGGTCCCGGCACCCGCGGGACGGGGCGGAGGGCTCGGGGTTAGGGGGCACCTGGGCAGGGGCGAAGCGCCGGCGTTCTCCGCGGTCCGCGCTGGGGCGGAAGCGCCTCTGCCGGGCGGGCGGGAGCGTTTGGGCCGGGCCGTTCCCAGGTGCAGGACGGCGGGACCCGGTGTCAGAGCGACCTTCGGGGCTTCGGGCGGGCAGGGCCGTGGGTGGCGGAGGAGGCGCCGGAAAGAGCCGACACCCGGTTCCCGCCGCCGGCGCGGGGGTCGGGCGAGCCGCGGGGCTGCTCCCGCTGCGCCCCCGGCACTGCGCCGGGAGCTCCGGGACCCGCTGCTCGCACACCTGCCCTGCGCCGCTCACACTTTGTTCTCAGGTGCCCCCGCGGAGCTGCCGCGTCCCGACCCCGCAGAGTTCAGGGCAGGTTCGCCTCGATGGCGCCTGCCGAGTGTCACAAACGCCCCGGCTCGGGATGCGCTCCAGGGCGGGCAGCGGCGGCTCAGGGGCTGCGGGTTCCCCCTCTCATGCCCGCGCAATTGCCTCCCGCTTCCCTCCCTGCTCCGTGCCGCCGAGCATTCCCTCCCGGTGCTGAGGACCGGGCAGGGAGTCACTGCCTGTGCCAGGCCCTTCGAGGCAGGTTCCTGTAGTCGGCAGGTGATTTTGCCTTGAGCAGAGAGCAGGGACTTTGCTGAGGGGAAGGCAGAAGTCTGGGTGAGATGAAAGCCCACGGCCCCGGTGGGGGAGCGGTGCTGGTGGCCGTTCTTCCCGCGGGAGCAGCCGGTGCCAGGGAAGTGCTGCTGCCGGCGGTGCTGGTTCGCGGGCCGCCTTCCTGCCCTGCACAGCTGTGCGGCACAGCCGATTAGAAACTGCTGTTCCACCCCAGAAATGACTGTGCTTGGCTGCGAGGACTTCACAGTGTGAGATAAGGTGCCAGCACCCGGCCCCGCTGAGGCCTGGCTCGGGCGGTGTCAGATACAACCCATTAGCGGGAGAGCGCCGCGGGGAGCGATTCAGTGAGCAGCCTCTCACAGCTTCCCGGAATTACCTGGAAGATGTCCCGGGTCATCTGTCAGCATCAGAAGTGTCCTGCTCACCCTGCCGCGGGGGCCACAGGGAGCAGCACAGCCACCTCCAACCCTTGCCGCTGTCCCTGTGCCAGGGGCAACACAACCCACAGCTGCCCTGAAGCCCCTGAGCTGAGTCGGTTCAGCAGAGGGCATTCTCTTGCTGGTGGGATTTTGCTGATGCCAGTGTGCCCCACAGCTCACAGCCCCTCTCCAGCCATCTGCCTCAGCGGAGAGCAAATCCTGGGGCGAGCAGCTGGTGGCACAGATGTGGGCTCCCCCCACTCCTGCCAGAGCTGCACTCCCATCCCGTTCCCAGCATCTCCCCACGGGACGGCGGTGAGACCAAACCCATCCCAGACCTCACCGTAGCTGAGCGAGCGTGGCAGTGAGGGTCAAACGTCTCTGGACCGTGGGGCAGCGATGTCCTACCAGGGAGCATCCCAGCTGCTCCTGCAGCACCAGCGGAAGGATGTGGGCAGCACGGTCCAGTCCCAGCACCGTGTCCTGAGCTGGGCTCAGGCCCAGCCCAGGGTGAGGGAGATTGGGCAGTGCTGGTAATCCTGCTGCACTCAAGGGATTACTGCTCGCTCTGGCCTGGGAATTAAGGGATTTCTCTAAGTGGGGTTGATGCAGCCTCCAGCAAAGCAGCTTGTGCCTGGGGGACCTCGCTGTCTGGGGCAGGATGGATGCGTGGAGGCAGGATGGACTATGCAAGGTGTGGGGGATCCACAAAGGAGGGTGGGCTGCCACATCCCCCAGCAGGCCAGGGGGTTCCCCACCCAGAGAATCCCTGTCCTCCTCATTGTCAGCCTGCACAGCCCTGTTTTGCCAGTGGGCACTGGCAACTTCTTGGCACAGGCTCAGCTGTTTCAGAGGCATCCTGGGACCATGGCATGCCCCTCTGCACCAGGGGATGCTGCTGGGGAAGCTGCCAATGATGCCCCAGCTCCTTCCTTGGCATGATGGGGGGTGAGCCAGGGCGAGTCGCTGGGCCCAGCTCGGGGGCTCCCAGACCGAAGGTGCAGGGACAGTGCAGGGGTAGCAGTGGGCTCGGAGAGCAGAGCTGGGTGCTCGGGCAGAGGCAGTTGGCTGGTTCTTCTCCTGAGATGTTTGGAGCAGAGAACGATGAGCCCCACTGCTGATGCTCACAATCACACGTCATCGGGGCTGCAGCCGTGGTTATTGTGACCTAGAGGTGTTTGTAAGCACCCCACCTCACCCAGGCAGGGTCCAAGGACCAAACTGAGCATCTGGATCACTCTGCATGGGAGAGGCCACCTGGCCCTGCCTCATCCTGGCCACAGCACCCGTGTGCCCTATGGGAGTTTTTCCAGATGCCAGTCCAGGCCCCGGGCAGGTGCTTGCCACAGCATGTTCCCAGCTCAGCCCCACTGTGTCCCCAGCTCTCTTTGCCTGCCCTTTTGCCTCCCTGTGATGGGGCAACCACTGCTCTGGCCTCTGGGAAAGGGGAAGTGGTGCTGAAAGCAGGAGGTCAGTCACGTCAGTGGCGAATGCCTGGCTGCCCTCGCAGCTCCAGAAGCTGCCCTTCTCCACTGTCTCTCCTGTCTGTAGTCACAGTGCTCCCGGGAGCAGGGACTGCTCCTGCCTGCCAGGGTGCCCTTCCCCACCGCCCACCCCATCTGGGCTCCTGCCTGCCCCACTTGGGTTACTCCTGGCTCAGCGATCCCAGTGACTGTTGGGGCAGGCGAGCAGAGCTGCTGGGCTGCTCCTGCCCCAACAGGCCCTGGGGTTTGTTACTCATGGCCGTGCCCTGTGCTCAAGATCACTTCTGCTTTGAGGGAAGGAGCCGTCAGTCCGGTTTGGGTTTGCTCAGTGCTTGTGGGGTAGGAGAGCAGGAGGGCTGCACCTTTCCCTAGCTCCACAGCTCTGCCTCAGGCTGGGATCCCAGGGCAAGACCCCCCAGTTCCTGCTGCAGAAGGCCCCCCACATTCCAGGATCAGAGCAGAGTGGGCAGCACCTCTGGGGCATGACCAGGGCTCGGCACCTGCCCATGCCTGCACACAGGGCTGGCTGAGCCTGTCAGGCTGTGCCGGGGTCGGGGCCCGGGCCCTGCGCCCCGGGAGCGGGGGTTGTGGTGCTCCCCCACGCTCACACGCCGCGCTGTCTCTGGGTGCACCTTCCTTCATGCAGCGCTCGTTGCTACGCGACCGCCGGCTCCCGATGCTTAATGCTCTAATACGGAGGGATAAAACCACTCTAAAAATACCCCGCTGCCGGCCCCCTGCGGGGGCAAGGGGGCTGCTGGGGGGCAGGCGGCCTGGGCGCAGGGGCTGCTGGGGACTTCCCAAACTCCTCGTCCTCTAAGTGGCTTTGAGCCGTGGGCCGGGGCTCCGGCAGCGGCACGGGCTGGTGTGCCGGTGCGGCCGGGATTGGCTGGGACTGGCGCGTGGGCTCCTGCGGCTGGAGCTCCCCTGCCAGAGCCAGCTCCAGCCAGAGCCGGGAGTGCTCCGGCTCCCCTGCCTGCACCCTGCCCGTGGGCCCTGGCACCAGAGAGCCCGCTGCTCGGCCACGTGCACCCGCCTGGCCTCTGCCTGCTGCTACCTGGCCTCTGCCTGCTGCTGCCGGACCTCTGCCTGCGCCTGCCTTGCCCCCCGGAACTGGTGGCATCCTGTGTGGGACCCCTGCAGCATGGGGACAGTCAGCGAGCTCTGCGCCTCCAGTTTCCAGGCCTTCCTCTGCCCCTCGGTGGCTGCCAAGGCAGGTAGGAGCTGCGTGCCCCCCCTCCCCTCTGTGCTGCGGGGTCCCCATCCCCCAGCAGACACAGTGGTGCCCATGGCTCCAGCTCCATATGGCTCTAGCTCCATATGGCTCCTGCTGACAGCAGCACGTAGTGTCCTCGCTGTCTCGCTGCCTCCTTCCATTGCCAGCCTCCCCAGGCTCGGTGCTCTGCAAGCACCAAACCCCAGCAGGACAGACAGGCATGGGCCCCTTGCCTGGCATTGCCCTGCGCTAGAGCCAGTGCCACGCTAGGATGGGGGTTGTTTGGTAGCCAATGTTGGCGGCTGGATGGTCACAGGCAGTGTGGCCACAGCAGGTCCTGCCCCAGCCCCTCACCCCTGCCCTGCGAGGTGTGAGCGCTTGGCTGCCCTCACCATGGCAAGTGCCTGTGGCTGTGAGGGCACCTTGGGGTGGCACTCTCCAAAGGGAATTCTGTGTGGGAAACCAGTGCCTGCCGTGCGAGGGATGTGCTGAGGGCTGGCTGCCTGTGTGAGCTGCTGCTGTCTGTGGGTTCCTGCCTGGCTGTGGGACCGGCCAGCCCTGTGGCTGAGCAGCAGCGGGCTCTGCTCCTCCCGAGGCCTGGCATCGTGAGTGGTGCTGAGAGCAGATAAGGCGCCTGCCTGGCTGCACTCTTGGCACCTGCACAGTGTGCGATACCTGTGGACGTGGCCGAGCCGGTGCTCACCTGGCCGTGCCAGGGGTCTGTGTGTGGGAGTGCTGGAGCCTGGAGCCACTAGGAGTGAGGCAACGGCTGTGGACAGGGGTTCCCTGCTGGCCTCTGGGTCGTTTTGTGGGAGTGCTGGGCAGGCTTGCACAAAAGTGGGACAAGGGCCCTGGGCCAGCAGCTTTGGAGGGTCTTTCTTGGAGCTGCCTGTTCTGAAACCCTTCTCCTGACGCACCTCGGCTGTCGGTGGGGAAGGACGGGGCTGACGCAAACCGGGGTGTGCACACAGCATGGTGAAAACAGGATGTGGTGCGGGGAGACGGGCAGGAAGTTCCTGGGGGCCCCGTGGGACCTCACCAAGGGGCACGGTGGGCAGCAGCACCCAGAGACCCTGGGCTTGTCTCCATGGTCTGTCTGACCCCAAGGCCGTTGCCCCTCTGGTGTGGCACAGCGTGGGCCAGCAGCACGGCTGGCTGGTGCTGTGCCTCAGGGGGCCAAAGGACATCCTGAGGCTTCTGAAGCCTGCCCTCCCCTCACTCCATAGCTGGTGTTCCTGGTGCTGTGCTGTGTCTCCATCTCGTGCTGCTGAGCAGGATTTAGCTGAGTCAAGGCGGCTGAGGCTGATGCGGCCTCTCCAGGCGGCTGACAGGGGACAGGGACAGGCTGGGTTCTCTTCTGCTGCAACCACAGCACCACAAGGCCTGGATTCGCTGCAAAGGGGTCCTGCATGGAGCAGTGGGGTCCCTACAAGCACCCTGGAGCAAGGGGGCTGCTGTGGACCCTGTGGACCAGTGGTCCCCACAGCTGGCACAGGACCTGGACCTGAAGTGGGGGGGGGTCTAGCAGAGACGGGGGAGCTGCAGGGCAGCGCTGGGGGTCTTTTGGGGTGGGGGGCCCAGCTGGCAGAGGGGAAGGGAGGGGACCCTTCATTGTGCGGCGATCTCAAGATGTGTTGGGTTGAGTGTCCTGGCAGCCCCCGAGGAAGGAAGGGCTGGGCCAGCCCCGAGGCCTGTGGCTGGGACCCCAGCACATCGAGTCCTCCAGCCCCGGGCCAAGGAGGGGCAACCGGGCCCTGCTTCCCTGTCCAGCCGGGAGCAGAGGAGTTAAGGTGCTGGCGACTCTGGCTCATGGCGGCAGGAAGAGGGTGTTGGTGGTGCTGGCTCCCGGCGAGGCTGGGATGACGCCCAGGCGGCCCTGGAGCTTATTGGTGCCGTGGCCCTGAGTCACCGCGGAAGCACTGGGGCGGCAGGTGCCCGCACCCGGCACGGCAGCACCTCTGCGGAGCCACCGGCAGCACAGGCACGGCCAGCAGGGCCAGTGTGAGGCCCTTCAGCGATGGTGCTCAGGGCGGAGGGCAGCGGTGAGCTGGGGTGTGGGGGTGAGGGGCGTGGGTGGCTCTGTGTCTGCCCCACTCCCCTGCTGCCAGCCCTGCCCACGGGCCTCGGGGCAGTGGACGCAGCAGACAGGACAGAGCGTGGGGCGAGCACGGCCCCTGTGCCACAGGGCTTTGCTTTGGCTGCAGTGGGGAGGGGGCATGTGCTGTGGCTGCTGCTCCAGGGCGCTGCAGACCACAGCAAACCCGGAGCCTGAGACAGGTGGATAAATCCTGCCGGTGGCCCTTACTGCTCCTGGGCAGAGTCCTCAGGCTCAGCTGCCGGCAGCAGGAGATGTGGGAGCCCCTGGTCCCCTGTGCTGGTGGGGAGCCCTAACCCTGCTTAGAACCCCACGTCTGGTGGGTCACTGTGTGACTCCTGCCAGGCTGAGGCTGGGGGAAGCGCATATTCCAGCCTCTCCATCCGTCAACACTGCTCTGCTCGCAGCCAGGCCTGCTGGGGCTCCCCAAGGTGAGTGCTGTGCAGAGCCAGGGAAGGGTTAATGCCTTCTTCCTTCCCTAGAAAAGCTCCTGCGTCTGGGGTTTCTCTTCCTCTGGCTGCTGCTGACATGGCTGGGCCGCTGTCACGAGTGCTCAGCCTCCGCTTGGGAGGGACCTTCCGGGGCTCCGGAACAGCCCTGACATCCCTGCTGCAAGGCAGCGTCTCATCCTGCGCCGTGCCTGCCCTGGGGCCGCCGGGACCCCTGCCGGGACCCCCACCCGCTCCCAGGTGGGCAGGGGGAGGCAGTGCTGAGGGCTCCCCTTGGCCCAGCTCCAGCCCTGGCACTGAATTTGACCTTCCCTGCAGCCAGACAGAAGGGTCCTGCAGCCAGGTGAAAGGGTCCTGCGGCACATGCAGCAGCCCAGGGATTTGGGGGGTTCTGTGTCTGACAACGCAGCTCATCCCTCCTGCAGTGAGCCTGGGCTTGCTGGGCACCCTGGGGGCTGGGCATGGGGGGGCTGGTGCTGGTGGCAGCAGCACTGGGCCATGTGGAAGGCGCTCGGATGCATCGACACAGCTCTGGTATTAGAAGTTTAAGTAACTTTTAACCTGGTGCCATGAGCAGACTTGTCTGATTCGGGCTTCCTGACAGGGAGACTGAAAATATTGGGAAGTGCTGCCGTCGGGTCTGAGACACAGCGTCGCAAGCTGAGGCGCCTCAGCCTTGGCAGTGAGGGGTTTGCGAAGGAAGAAGCTCGTCAGAAACCGGAGCAGGGCTAGGGAAGTGCTGAGCTCAGAGATTCAGGGTGCGGGGTCACGGTCACCCCAGGGAGGCTCCCTCGGAGGCGGCGCGGGGAGAAAGAATGTGCAGTTGAGGATGATACCGGTCCAAAGGCACATGGTGTCCCTGGGCGCTGGCACAGGGCAGTGACCGTGCTGTGGATGCTCCGGTGAGTCTGGGCTGGCAGTGGTGGCCTGGAGCCCACGCATGTGGCACACGGGACATCAGTGGGATGGAGGGTAACGCTTGGGGCAGGGGGGGGATGTGACAACCCCACAGGTTCCTGTCCCCAGCACCCCAGGGTGGGAGGTGGGGATGACATGAGAGCTGAGCCTGCGGGTGCTGCTGCCACCTCCCTTGGGGACTGCGCTCTGTAGGGATGATGTTTTGGTGTCCTTGCGGGCGACCTTGGTGCAACGTGTGGAACTCTTTGGCAGAGGTGGGAGACACAGGCATAGGAGGAGAGCTGGGAGCACTGCTGGAGAAGCAGGTGACCTTGGCAACTGGAGGGAACAGGAATGGCATACCTTGTCATTGTGAGCCAGGAGGTCACGCACCAGGGAGCACTAGGAATGTTCTGGGAGCAAGGGGGGGCGTGCGGCCGCCCTGTGGTTGAGCCTCAGATGTTGTTGAAGAGGGAGTGCCTGGCTCCCCCGGGTGACAGGGAGGTGTAGACATCACGGTGTGCAGGAGGGTGTGCCAACTCCAGGCCCTGCCCTGGAATGATGGATCCAGCGCAGAGTGGGCTGCAGGGATTGCTAGGAGTTGGTTTATGTTTGGGGCTGGCCCGGTATGGCAGAACAACCTGCGGGGCTCCAGGTCTGCTTGGAGCCCATGCCTTGGGGCACAGCAGAGCTGCCCAGCCAGGGAAGGGCCCAGAATGGGTACCCACACCAGCCTGGCTGAGGTAGAGCAGAGTGAAATGGGACATGGGGGGGCATCAGGGCCAGGGCCGGTGGGAGCAGCGCTGGAACTGGTCTGGGGGCTGTGCTGGTCCTCACTGCACAGCTCCCATGGGTGGTGCCCAGCTCCCCGCCGCAGCCGCTGCCCAGCGGGGCGATGCCCTGGCCCTCGCATTCCTTGCATGCCGTCAGTGCCACTTGGCCCCTGCACAGGGCTGGGGACTGTTCATCAGCCCAGTTCCTCTGGGCAGCTGGCAGCTCCACGTTCTGGTTCCATCCAGGCCCAGGACTGCCAGCCGAGAGCAGAGGCTGTGCCAGGAGCACGTCAGGGCTGATTCCCAGGGCCACACGTGCTGACCTGACCGTATCTCTGCTCAGTGCCCAGTGACCTGACCCCAGAGGAGTGCCAGGAGCTGGAGAACATCCGCCGCCGCAAGCAGGAGCTGCTGGCCGACATACAGGTCTGATGCTGAGGGGTGACACCCACACAATTCCCCTGTCTCACAGAACAGCCTGAGAGGCAGAGGACCATCTCCCTGCTCATGTCACTGGCAGGGTCCCTGCAGCCCCATCCAGGGTCCCTCAACCCACTGCCCCACAGCACTGCCTCCAAGGGGCCCTGGGGACAGGAAGAGGGTCCCATCGGGGACGTGATCCCGGGTGGCAACCATTAGGGTTGCTCTGCTCTGCTCTGCTCTGCCGAGGCAGCCGTGGCTTTTCCTGTGCCCTGCAGAGCTCCAGGCCCTGCAGTTGTGCCGTGCCCCGGAGCACTGGTGTCTGTGCCAGCCCCTGCCTGGCATGGGCAGGGACCGTGTCTCTGGGCCAGGCCACTGCCCTGGCAAGCGCCTTCGAGGTCAGGGCTCATCTGGGACACTGTCAGTCCTGTCCCCGATTAAGACAGCAGAGGCTAATTACTGCCATATGCTGGGCATGATCTGAAGGGATTAGGGGTAATTTTGTTAACCTCTGAATCTCTTCCTTCCTGTGCTGAGAGCGTTGTGATGCTGCAGGGATTAGCGGGGGGGGGGGGGCAGCCAGCCCGTGCCCCCTGAGCTGGTTCAGCCCCAGGGCAGTGCTTGAGGGTGGGAGGGGGATGGAGAGAAGAAAGAAAGGAGGGTCTGCAGGGCTTCCTGGAGGAATGGGGCTGCCTCCAGGGCTGAGGGTTGGAGGGTTTGGGGTGGAGGCCCCTCCAAAGTGCCCTCTCCCCACAGCGCCTGAAGGATGAGATAGCAGAAGTGACAAATGAGATCGAGAACCTGGGCTCCACCGAGGAGAGGTGAGTCCCAGCCCAGGGCCCTGCTGAGCCCCCTGTGGGATCTGAGGGCAGCTGAGCCCTGGCCCATGAGTACTGGTGTGGGCGGCTTTCCCAGGCGCTCTGGGCTCCTGGGAGCGGGATCCCAGGCTCAACTGCTGCTCCCAGGTCTGTTTTCCTAAGCCCCAGCCCCTCTGTCTGGACACAGCCACTGTCGGGCTTTGTTATTCTGAGCTGGTGCAGGCGGTGCCAGCCGGGATTAGGGGTCCCAGCAGCTGGCGGGAGCCGGCTCCCAGCGCCGTCCCCGATCACCCACTGGGGCATGAAGGCTGTCCCCTCCCGCCAGCCCCTCTGCTCTCCCAGAGCCCCGCCGCAGCCGGCTTACCCGAGCCTCCCCATGCACGGCTGACCTGACAGGTGTCGTACCTGCACCCCCTCCGTTCAGGGTGACCCCCAGAGTGGGTATGGCAGCTCCGCTCTGCTCTGGGGCCCGGCAGGCCAAGAGCAGCCCTGGGCCACGGGGCAGACACGGAGCAGTGTGTCGGCTTCGCCCCACGGGGGGCCAGCACGGGGACCTGGCTGCCGCCGTTCCGGGCTGACCCTCGCGGCAGTGCACTGCGCCGGGGGCCGCGCAGAGGCAGCACGTCCCTGCTGGATGCTCAGAGCTGCTTCATGTCTTGCAGGAAAAACATGCAGAGGAACAAACAGGTGGCAATGGGCAGGAAGAAATTCAACATGGATCCCAAGAAGGTACCGTGGAGTGGGAAGCAGGGCTGGTCACCAGCCTCTGAGACCGTGCTGGGCTCTGCCACCTCCCAGTCTGGATGCCTGAGCCAGGGCAGAGCCCGTGGGCAGGGGGTGGGGTCAGCAGACAGGCTGGCAGAGGCAGCAGCAGACCTCTGAGTAGCCCCTCTTGCACTGCTCCAGGGCATCCAGTTCCTGATTGAGAATGACCTGCTGAAGAACACGTGCGAGGACATCGCTCAGTTCCTGTATAAGGGAGAAGGCCTCAACAAGACAGCCATCGGCGACTACCTGGGCGAGAGGTGTGCTGGCCTCGGGTCTCCTGGGAATGTTCTGGGCTCCTGCTGCCTGAGAGATGGGACACTGCAGCTCTGAGCTCACAGGGCAGCCAAGTGGGGGTACCCGGTGTGCTGGGGGCAGTTGGGGGTGTTCAGTCCATGGCTGGCGCTTGCGAGCGGCTGGTGTGTGCAGATGAGCCCAGTACACGAGCTGGGGGTAGCTGCAGCTTTCCCCCATGAACAAGCAGAGTTTGCAGCAGGGCAGGGACAGTGGGGCTGCTCGGCAGTCACAGGATTGCTGATCATGCACCCCTCGTGCTCTGGCTTTGTTCCCGCAGGGATGAGTTCAACATCCAAGTCCTGCATGCCTTTGTGGAGCTGCACGAGTTCACCGACCTCAACCTCGTGCAGGCCCTGCGGTGAGCGAGGGGCCAGGAGCTGAGTGTGGCCATCTGGGGGATGGCGGGGGACCATGATGGGCCAAGGGACCCTGGAGCCCCCAGATCGGCACCACAACTTGCTCTCCACAGGCAGTTCCTGTGGAGTTTCCGGCTGCCCGGGGAGGCGCAGAAGATCGACCGGATGATGGAGGCCTTTGCGCAGCGGTACTGCCAGTGCAACCCCGGCGTCTTCCAGTCCACAGGTGAGCACCTGCCCCAGACCCTCTCCCTGGCATCCTGCCCCGCAGCTGACTTTCCCTTCTGTCCCTGCAGACACGTGCTATGTGCTGTCCTTTGCCATCATCATGCTGAACACGAGCCTGCACAACCCCAATGTGAAGGACAAGCCCACAGCAGAGCGATTCATTGCCATGAACCGCGGCATCAACGACGGGGGAGACCTGCCCGAGGAGCTGCTCCGGGTGAGGGCCAGGGCCTGGAGAGGCCAGGGCCAGGCTGCAGAGCTGGCCTGGAGCAGGGCCTGCCGCAGGACTCCAGGGCAGAGCAAAGCTGACACTGTGTGTCGTTGTACCAGAATCTCTATGAGAGCATCAAGAATGAGCCCTTCAAAATACCTGAGGATGATGGCAACGACCTCACCCACACCTTCTTCAACCCCGACCGGGAGGGCTGGCTCCTGAAGCTTGGTGAGTGCTGGTGGCCAGGGAGGGCAGGCTGTCCCCAGGGACAGACCTGGGAGGTGGGTGTAATGCCTCTGGGCTTCCCACACTTCTTCTGCTGCCCTGGCTCTTTGGAGCTTGAGTGGGCTGCAGAGAGTCACAGCCCCCTCGGGTAAGGCGTCCATACATCCAGCAGCCCTCTATCTTCCCTTGGCTGGGCAGCAGGAGTGAACTCAGAGCTGAGGAGGCCCTGCAGAGTGGCTGGGTGGGCATCCCAGGGGATTCTGCCTCTAGGTTGGGCAAGCCCCCGAGGTGCAGAACTGGTACCAAGGTCCAATGTCGGAGCACAGAGACCTTGAGGCCCTTCAGGTCACCGAGTCACAGCAGGTTGTGTCGGAACAGGCCCCTGGGAGTGAGCAGCGAGCTGCCCCAGGCTGCGTGTGTCCCCCCTCCATGCCACAGACAAGCCCCTGCCTCACCTTCCCACAGCATTATCACCTCTGCATCCCAGCTCCACATGCAGGCAGCGTGCATGGCATCCCTGCTGCACCGCCCGGCTCCCGCAGCCGGAGCCCTCCGCGCCCTGGCTCCTGTGGCTTCTCTTCTCAGCACCTCTGGGGAATCCTCTGCGTGGGTCCAGTGGGGGGGGGAGGGATGCTGGCAGGATCGGGGTCCAGTGGGGCCTTTCCCTGGGGTTCTGGCTGGGGTCAGGATTCCTGATGTATGGCCATCCCCTCGGGAGGGGGAGAGGCCTTATCCCTGGCTCAGGGGATGAGCAAGAGTCACCTGCTCCCCACCCTGAGGTGGGGGGGACTCAGGGAACAGCTCCAGGCTCTCCTGTCTCTGACAAGGCCAGCGCCCAGCAGGTGCAGGGGCCTGGTGCACAAAGGTTCACGTTGGCACTGCCACTATTGGTGGACAGGCGGGCAGAGAGGCAACAGAGTGGCCGTGGACCCCAACTCGCTTGTAGGGAAGGGAGAGACCCCGTGGGTCAACCATGGGGTGGAGGGAGCCAGACCCTGTGCCCAGCAGCTGAGGAGCCCCATCCCACAGAGCCACAGTGAGCCAGGGCAGTCGGCCCCCACGGCCATGCCGCCAGCCTGACCCCTCACAGCTTCCCTGCTGCAGCCTGGCCCCACTGACCCGCAGGGCAAGGGGGGGCTTTGGGATTCCTCTTTTTATTTTTTCCCTTTTTTTTTTTAATTTTCTTTTCTCCCTCATTTGTATGTTTCCATGATTTTGGCTCTTCCTTTCCCTGCCCCCCAACTCCAGGAGGTACGTACCCCTCTCCCGTGCTCTGCTCACACTGCTGGGGCTTCGTTTCCTTTGCGTTTTTAATTGCTGGTGATGAGTCTCATTGCTGCTGCTGCTGCTGCTAACCCCGCACCGCCCGGGGACCTCGCCTGCCGCGGGACAGCACTGCTCCGCCACCAGGCAGGGACTTGGGGTGTGGCCTCACCGATACCACACTCTCCTCAAGGCCTGTGGCCTCCTCCACCGCCCTGGGGGAGGACAGGGCCGCAGTGGCTCCTTGCCCAGCTGCTGGCCGGGGTGTCCCGCCCGGCCGTGCTTCGCCGTGTCCGCAGGCAGCTCAGCCCGGTCAGTGTGTCTTCGCCTCAGGTGCCACGAGGGATGGGAATGGGTTTGGTGTGTCCTCAGCAAGGACTGTGCGCGGGATGCTCAGGGGTGCCAAGTGCCTGGGGCTGGATGGAAGCAGGCAAGAGCCACCTGCATGGTGCCCTGTGCTGTGCCAAGGGCTCACAGCAGTTCCTATGCGAGCACCGCACCGGTGCTGCCCCGGCTCCAGCACTTGCACCCCAGCATTGGTGCTGGCTCTCGGAACTACTGTGGGGCAGGGACTGGGGCGGGCACCCAGCTGGCATGGGGGAACAGGGGACACAGGGCACACCGTGGCTCCCTGTGTCCATGGCAGAGCCAGTCCTCAGGGGTGGGTGCTCATCCCACATCTAGCACTGTTGCAGTGGCCGCAGTGGAGGGGAGCTGAGCCCAGGGGTGAGTGGCCCCTGTGCCCATGGAGTGGCTTCTCCCACTGTGCTGGGCTGCAGAGCTCAGCCGTGGCTCAGCACTGGGACGAGGGGGGACCGTGGTCAGTGTGGACAGAAAGTCCCCGTGTCCCCTGGGGAGCTGCCTGGCTGCAGTATCCTCTAGCTGTGCTGAATTCGTGTTTGGGTGGGAACGGGCTCAGCACTCCCGGCCCGGCACCCCAGCCTCGCCTCCATCCTCATCCGTCTGCTTCCCGCTCCGGCTCGGTGCAGTGTGTGCTGCCTGCTGCTGCTGCCCGCCGCTGCCTGGCTCTGCTTGGCTCTGTGTGTCCGCCCGGGCCCTGTGCTGCTGGAGCCTGTGTGTGTCCGCCTGGCTCCTGCTCTGCCATGTGCCATGTGCCCGGCTGTGCCTGCAGGGCTGTGCCCGACTGTCCCTCTCTGCTCCCAGGAGGCAGGGTGAAGACATGGAAGCGGCGCTGGTTCATCTTGACCGACAACTGCCTTTACTACTTCGAGTATACAACGGTGAGTGGGCTCTGCGTGGGCCGAGCCAAGCCGGGGCAGGGAAGGGGCTGGATTGGGAGTGTCCATCCCACAGCTAAACCTCTGCTTGGCCGTGCCAGGATAAGGAGCCCCGTGGCATCATACCCCTGGAGAACCTGAGCATCCGTGAGGTGGAGGACTCAAAGAAGCCCGTGAGTGCTGCAGCAGTGTCCTATGGGGCTTGGGGGTAGCCTTGGTGCTTTAGCTTGGGCGGGGAAAGCTGGGAGATGTTACAGCCCCCCAGGATGCCCCTAGGAGAGGCAGGGGGCCCCCGCAGCAGTCACTGCCTCCACCATCACAGCGGCCAGGTGCAGTCACTGCAGTGACCAGGACTGGTGGCAGAGCTTGTGCAGGGCCATGGGGTGATGAGCACGGCGTGTTCATCCCTCTGCCACGCTGGGGTGGTTGTGCTGGGGGAGCATGGCTCTGCCTCATCCCTCCCAGCCTGGGGTCCCCTTTGGAAGGGGAGGGGGCTACCTCTGAGCGGTCTTTCCCTCCCAGAACTGCTTTGAGCTCTACATCCCTGACAACAAGGACCAGGTGATCAAGGCCTGCAAGACAGAGGCGGATGGGCGTGTGGTGGAGGGGAACCACACTGTGTACCGCATCTCTGCCCCCACACCTGAGGAGAAGGAGGAGTGGATCAAGTGCATCAAGTGAGTGCCCAGAGGAGTGTGTGGGGGCACGGTGCTGGGCAGGGGCACGGCGGGGACTTATCTGCTGCCCTTGAAGGGGACAGTGCTTCCTGGGGCACCCTGCAAGAACGGGGGGAGTGAACTTTCCCAGGGACATAAAGGGACATGCCCAAGGCCCGACCAGGCAGGTCACACCCAGCCCTGCAGTAGTTTGGCCTGACCCAGCCTTTGTTCCCCTGCCAGGGCAGCCATCAGCCGGGACCCCTTCTACGAGATGCTGGCTGCCAGGAAGAAGAAGGTCTCCTCCACCAAGAGGCACTAGCAGCCAGACTGGCCTTGTGAGGCCAGCATGCCCTCGGCAGCCCAAGCGTCCCCCTGTCCCGGGGGTCTGTGGGGCGGGGGCTGCACTGCAGCCTGGCCCTAGGGTCCAGGGCCCAGCTTCAGCTTCACTGTTTCTTTTCCGTGGGGGGAGGGAGGGGGCACAGGCATCTTGGTGCCTCTGGCCCTCCATCACTGCCTCATCGCCAGAACGGTGTCTTCATGGGCTCAAGCTGGGACACAGCACCCCTGGGAGCTCAGCCTCAGCACCACAGGCACCCTCCCTGCTCCTGACCCCCAGCAGCCCTGCGGCTGCACATGGCACTGCAGCTCCCCAGCACCCGTGTCCAGACACTTGGAGTGTCCTGTCAGGAGGATGAGCAGCTGTTAGTGAGTAGCTGGCAGTTTTGGGGTGCCACAGGTGCTGGGGTGCAAGGCGTCAGGCCCAGGGAGGCCCTACAGAGACACAGCTCCTGGCCCTCGTTATAGCGGGCCTGAGTCTGTCCTGGGTGTCCCCACGCTGCTGCCTCAGACCCTCACAGCTGCCCCCTGCACCAGGAGCGGTCCCCGTGTGCACAGGAGTGCCGAAGGGCAGGGACTGTCACCATCACGGTCTGCAGTGGTGCCACACAGGGCACAGACATGCCCTCGTCCAGCCATGGAGGCTGTGGCTTGGATGAGGTGGCACTGGGTGGCATTGCCCCTGGCACATCCTTGCAGCACAGTCCTCTCATGCCAGGGTGGCATGGTGCCGTGGTGGGACATGCCCAGAGCTGGAGCCTGCCCTGAGAATGGCTGTGGTGGGGGTCTGGATGGGTGGGGGCTGCATCCCCCACTCTCTGCCTCACAGTCTGCCCATGTCATGTCCTGTCCCTGTCCCCGCGCATGGTCTGGAGACGCCTGGATCAGTATTAGTCTATTTATCAGAGGTGTAAATACTCCTGTATAGTTTTCTCCTTGTAGATTATTTTGTATGTGGGTGGTTCAGTGCAGAGGCCTCGTGGGGCGGGGGGGGCAGGATTTTTTATTCTAACATTTATTTTTTTTTTTGCCATGGCCTTGTAAACTAGTGCTGAGGATTGGCAGCAAATAAACACTGCACTGCGCTCCACTTGGCCTCCTGTGCTCTGTGTGCAGCTCGGCGTGGGCAGGAGTCCCATGCCCCCCATCACTGCCAGCTCCTGCCCTGTGCCTGGCCTTGAACCAGGCTCATGCTCCTCTCAGCCCGAGGTCTCCTTACTGGCACCGCAGCGATGCCATATTGGATGAAGTGGCAGCACTGGGGCCAGTGCAGGTCTTGTTTTGAGCCTCTGTCTGCTCCACTAAAAAGCCCCATGTTTTCTTGGTGTACTGGGGGTGTTTGTGAGCCTTGTGCCCTCACCAGCTGCCCCTGTCCAGGACAGTGCCTTGGGGACCTTGCCACAGGGCATGGGTGGCTGGGCTGGGCTGGGACAACTCCTGGTCCTGCATCCTGCTGTGCAGTGGGTCTGGCACCGAGCTTGGCTGGGCAGGGGGGTGGTTGCCCACCACAGTGGCACTCACTGCACCATTCAGGGGGGCTGGGACAACAGAAGTGGTGGGGCATGCACTCAGGTACCTCGTTCTGCGATGGGGCTGGGGGATTCATACCCAGGTGGTACCAGCTGTGAATGGGATCAAAGCCAAGTTGGGGACAAGGGCAAGCCGGGAGCGCAGAGCCTGTGCCAGCCCTGCTGCTGCCACCAGGGCGGGGGGGTGCTGGTCCAGCCTTGCACACTTGTGCCATGGTGGGAGTCTGCCAGAGGCAAGGGCATTCCCTGACAGAGCCAGGGGCATTCCCTGCTGTGGTCTCTGCCCTCCCTGTGCCTCAGATGGGGCAGCCCTTGGCACCGTGGCCTGACTCGGGCCAGGGTGGCCACCAGCCCCTGCTGAGGGATGAGGACGTGGTGGGGCAGAGGGCAGCCCTGCAGTTGGGCTGGTGCCAGTGCCGGTTGGGCTGGTGCTGGGGTCAGTTGGGGCGCAGACTGAGTCGGTTGAACCGCAGATGGGGTCAGTTGGGGTGCAGACGGTGGCTGGAGGCTGTTGGAGGGTTGAGAGGTGCGGCAGGGCAGGGGAGCAGTAGAGCCAGGTAGGATTGGGGTGAGCCAGGGGGGCAGAGGGGCCAGGCAGGGGTGGGGCAGGTTGGGGGGGGATAGGACTGGGGGTAATGAGGACCGGCAGGGATAGAGCAGGTCGGTGGCTGATGGGACTGGGGGTGATGAGGACCGGCAGGGATGGGACCGGCAGTTCCCCATGAGACTGCATGTGCACAGGGAAGGCTGAGGGCAGTGGAGGGGTGGGACGGGCAGTGGGGAGGGTCGGGGGGTCGCGACGGGCAGTGGAGGGGTGGGACGGGCAGCGGGGAGGGTCGGGGGGTGGGGTCGGCGCAGCCTCTATCTAAGCGGGGATCCGCACGTGGGTCCGCTCAGGTGCTCCGGGGCCGCGGTGCTGCCGCAATGTCGGCCGGGCAGGACCCACGGCTCGCTTTCATGGAGAGCTTGGTCACGGTGTTGCTGCGCATCTCGACGGACAAGTGGGGCAAGTTTGTGAGCAGCGAGGAGGTCACGACCATGCTGGACAAGTTCTTCAAACAGCAGGATGCGCTGGAGGTGGTGTTGGGGCTGAACCCCTCCGGGCAGCTCCTGCCCACTACGGGCTTCCCATCTGCCCTAAAGAGCAAGGGCATCTACTTTGTGAAGAAGAAGGGGGAGAACATCACCCAGGAGAACTGCCAGAGCGGTCTGCTGGTGGGAGACATTGGCCCCTCGCCTGTGGAGCAGCTCATCGCCGTGCTGCTAGAGGTGGGTTGCCCGCACAGGCACAGGTGGGGCGAGTGGGATGAGCTGAGCTGCCTGGGCACAGTGCTGTGCCGGGATGCCTGGTGCAGGCTGCTAAAGCCAAAATTCCAGGTGATCTCCAAAAGAAACTGAAATTTATAGAAAAAACTTGCCCCAGGCAGTGGCCCTGACCTTTCGGCGACTCCTGTGCTAGGCTGAATGAGCCCCACCAGGACAAGAGCTGGAGGAAGGTCACCAGCCCAGTTTTCTCCTGGGCCCAACTAGATCACTTCCTCCCTGTGGTTTTAGAAACTCATTGTAATGTCCCCTCCCCCCTGCCCCACATCTGGGAAATTTCCGAGTGGATTTCTCTCAAACTTCCCACGAATATTCCCACTGCCAGCCCAGAGTACCCAAAAGTTGCATTGGCCCCAGGAGCCCCCATGATTCCCCTGCAGTGCTGGGGGCTTTTGCCTGTGTTCCAGCCCCTGACCCCGCTGGGTGCTCTCACTGTGCCACTCCCAACACTTCCCAGCCCATGAGAGCTGGAAACCCAGACCAAGGGGACTCCTGGTCACACTGATGACAGAAATATCAGGAAAACCCATTGGTGGCCGCTGGAGCTGTGGCTGGGCGGAGACTGTGCTGTGATGGGCAGCGAGAAGGGACACTGAGACGGGCAGCATGACCGCCCACTGCCCTGAGCACAGGAGTGCCTGAAAGAGCACCCAACCCAGCCTTATCCTCCAGGTCGTGTCCCCCGTGCTCCTGAGTGAGGAGCAGGGGCTCGGCTGGCCCAGGATGGTGGTGGAGGATGTTGTGCAACAGACCCACCAGCTGCAGAACAAGATGTTTATGATGGGCGGGAAGATCCAGGGGAAGCCGCTGCTCCCACTGCCTGAGCACCTGATCAGCTGGGACGACTCCGGCGCCGCCTTGGACTGGTGGGTGCTGCTGGCACCACTTGGTGCCAGAAAAGGCAAAGAGGGGCCCAGGCAGCACAAGTTCCTCAGGGAGGAGGAACTGGGACACTGGCTTAGTCCCTGCACACCCCTGGGCACAGCCACCCCTGCAGCAGAGAAGGTTTGAGGGGCCCATGCCAGGCCTCTGCACAAGCAGGCACGAGGGGCTCCCCCGGCTGTTTGGGGTTCCCCTGGGGCAGTTTATGGCTCCTCTGGGGCATAACCTGTCTGCCTTTCAGCCTGGTGGGGCCTGCAGACGGTCCAGTGCTGCACTCCATCGAGACCGTCATCGTCGAGTGGTCCCAGCAGATTGAAGAGATCTTGAGCCAGGACTCAGCACGGCTGCTGCTGGAGGGAGTGCACCCCCTGCCCAGGGTCGAGTTTGAGTTCTGGCAGACGAGGATGACCAACCTGCAGTGTATCAATGACCAGGTACTGCCTCACCCGCAGTGGACTCCCCGTGCTGAGCCCCCCGTGCTGAGCCCCCTATGCTGAGCCTGCCACCTCTCCTGTACCAGCTGCTCTCGCCCCAAGTGACAGTGCTGGCCAAGACGCTGGAGAAGGCCAACAGCTGCTATTGGCCATCATTGCAGAACATGTTCAGGGCCGTCAATGCTGGTGAGGCCCCCCAGTTCCGTGTTGGAGGGGTGGGGACCCTGTTCCTCAGTGTTCGGCTGGATGTGGTGGTGACGTGGTGGTGGCTGCCTCTGACAGGGTGTCCCCATCCTGACCCAGAGTTTCCTCCCTGTCCCAGGCCTGGAGGAAGCCAAAGATGTCAGCCTCCATCTGCAACCGCTGCAGGTGCTGCTGGAGGAGGTGGAACAAGCGGATTATTCCCAGGTAAGTAATGTGGCAAAATAACCAGGCACAGCCTGGCTGCCTCATCTGGGTGGCGACGCAGAGCCCCAGAGGCTGCAGGGGGGGCACATGCCCCCAGCTCTGCCACGTCCCCACACTGATGGGGCTCTGCTCCCACAGCTGCAGCCCTTTGTGCCCAAGGTGCTATGCACTGTCTGCCTGCTCCGGGTTCACTGCCAGCTCTACCACTCACCCGCCCACGTAGCCCGTGTCCTGCAGGAGATCTGCAACCTCCTCATCACCATGGTACAGCCCCAGCACCAACCCACATCCCCTCCAGCTGCCCCACTGGGACAGGTGTGGGGAGTCCAGCTGCGGTGACACAGAGACACCCCAGACAAGGGAACAGCAGAGGCCCTTGTAGGGCTGGGTGGGTCTGGGGCAGGCACGGGCTGCAGGTGGCAACCAGCAAGGCCATGGGGATGAAGGGGACAGGAGGAGCCTTCCCACCTTCCTGACAATAGTCCCTGCCTGCATCTGTCTGTCCCAGACCCAGAAGTTCCTGAGCCCTGAGGACGTGCTGAAGGGGCTGCAAGGAGAACCCCAGGAGACCCTGGAGGGAATCAAACTGAGCATCTCCACAATAGAGAAGTTCTTCCAGTCCTACAGCACTTACTGCTCCAACCTGATGCCCACGTTGTTCCCGGTGAGTGTAGGGACAGTGTGCAGGCACCTGGCCCCCTCCACACCGGCCCCACTGACTGACAGACCCTTTCCCCTCCCAGGAGGAGCCACAGCTGTGGGAGTTCCCCCCCACCCGTACCTTCAGGAGGATGGACGCCTTCTTACACAGGCTCAAGACCATCGAGGTGACAGCACAGCATTTTGGGGCACAGTGCCAGCTGCAGCTGGGCCTTCCCTGCCATGGGGATCCTGGGGTGGTCCCTGAGAGCAGCACCAGGTGGGCTGGGACCGCTGATGCAATGGGACATTGCTGGGAGCATTGTGGCACCATTCCCAGCACAGCCCTCCTGGCCCTGAGCCCCCAGGACAGGATGGCCACCCCCCAGCCAGGCCAGGGAGCATCCCTGGGAGAATGCTCCTCAGGAATGGTGCATGGGCAGGATGCAGCCCTGTGCCAGTGCTGCAGCTCCTGCACCTGCAGCCTGGGACAGGGGGAGCCAAGTGAAATGGGGGTTTGTGCTTGCCAGGAGCTGTTCCAGGCAGCCATTGACTTCCTGAAGCTGGAGAAGACAGTTCTGGGAGGGGTGCGAGGAAACTTCCTTGGAAACTGGGTGTTGCGGATCTCTGAAGAGGTCTGTGAAGTCACCAAGAGTTTTGCTGATTGCAAATATGATCCTTTGGATCCCAGTGAAGAGGTGAGCAGATGCTGGGATGGAAATGTAATGGATGCTGGGATGGAGGTGTAAACATTTGCTAAGTGAGAAGAAAAAAATCTCTTGCCCGAACACACTGCAGAGCAGCCCATGGGACTGTCCCACAGCAGCAGAGGGCTGGCTCTGGGGCAGGTCATGAGCCTCTGGGCCCTCCAAGTT